CAAATAGTTTTTACTGTATGTAAGTATTAAATGACTTATCTTTTATTTTACTTAATTACTGGCAAGAAATGAAACCGAAACCGTAACTGTTTAAAACCGTTTCGTTTTTTCAAAACCGAAACCGAAACCGTAACCCTTATTTTGACCTTAATAAGAACGAAATCGAAACCATTTAAAGCAAAGGAGCCGGTTCCCATTAGTTTCGAGAAAACTATAAAAGCCCCCTGCAGGACCTGGCAACCTCAAACTTGTTTTTTTTTCAGTAGCATAACTGTGTCGTTACACGATCAAGAATTTGCTATGAAGTCAATCACACATATTGCTTGTCAAAATTCATTTGAATTGAGAGCTGTGCTGAAGGCTGCACGCAACTTGATAGCCAATTTGCATTTGAGGTTGCCTCGTCAAGGAAACCACTTAAATTCGCGCCTCATTCCTGTACTCAGATTTATCTGATACAAAATCTGACTATATTCTGGAATACCGGAACAGACTAAATGTGATCAGCTATTTGGCTTGACTATCAAGTTGCCACTCGACTTGACAGGATGAAGTGCGAGTATGTTATTAAAACAGTGTGACTGTATTTAAACTTAAAAGCAAGTTCTTGATCGTGTAACGTTCAAGTAAAATAAAACAAGCGATACTCATGTTAAAGAATTGCTTTCAATTCGCTCATTATTTTTTTCATATTTTATTAAACATGCCATTATAACTATTACAGCTATACATTGATTTATTGATAAGTTTGCATAATTTTTAACAAAAGTTCCAAGAAGTTTACTTTCATTAAAAAAATGTATGATTAGCTCCTGTATTTGTTCCTAAATCGCTTTTCCAGATGGATGGTCTTGTTGAAGCGGCTGATAGCAAATTTAATAGCTTTTACTAATACAAAAAGAAATTTTATATTTGCCAACTGTATCAAAAGAAAATTGCAATTAAGTGAGTGCACTTTTTTTTGGGATCTCAAAGATCCGATATTCGGCTATATCTCTACAATACATGTAAAAATGCAAGGTGGACCCGATAGCGTTCTTTTATGAAAAACTTGTCGCCATTTTGCCACGCCCATTCCTAACAATATATGGTTAGAAAGCTTAAAAAATAAGCCCTCGAAATAAGTCATTTTCGAATAAAACAAAAATGGTGCATTGTTCAAAAGCAATACATTTTTTTTTGCACCTAAAAACACGGGAAAAGTTCTAACACTTGGCGAATTTTTCCCCACAAGTGAAAAATTTTATGTAAAAATAAATTTGAGCTTTTTTTTTTGAGAACATAATTTTTTAATTTTTCTTTTTTTTATTGATTAAAATTTGTCCCTATCGATAGATATGAATTTTTCAAAAAATAATTGTGACTACACAATGCAATAACGTTTTCTTTTTTCCTAAAGAGTTTGCCACCTAGTCAAATATTAAAACACAGTATCTTATAGTTGATTTCCATCAAGCTTAACTGCAGTTTATGCCGTTTAAAAAACGGAGATTACAACTCGAAAGGGGTGGTTCCACCTATTAAGTATAAGCAAACGAAAGGAAAATATAAAACTTAAGATAAAACCTTTCCGATCACCCCATGTTGGAATTATTTGAACTTTTCTGAGCTCTTAACTGCAGTTAAGCCTTTGGTGGAAATAGGCTATTACTCGTCAGAGCATATACTTATTAGATGATGGCACATATGATTCCAGTTAATGTGCTTCTGCTGCTCTTTTGCCAAATTATTATATTTTGTATTTGTATTGATTTATGGAATTCAATTCAGTAAAATTAAAACGAATATTTATTATACAGTTTCAACTGGAATGTGCACTTAATAATGTCACGTATTCTGCGTTTAAGTTTAGCAGATATGGTACAGTTCAAGGCGGAGCAGCTGGATTGATCATTTTTTGTTCTTACACAGAGGAAAAACACCTAATAAAATGGAACAAAACTAATATATATCTACGGTTTTATGTTAGATAGATAGTCCTCTTACTTCCAGAGGGAAAATCTTAAAAAAAAGAATAAACCTTTTCGTTTTTATAAGGTTGTCTAATTAAATTCTAAAAATAGAAATTGAGAAAAAACAGCGCCGACCGGTCCTCGATCTCGTGACCTTCTTAATGACAGTTGACAGCTCTATCTATTTGGCTACGGTGGTCGCTTTACCGACAGTATTCTATTGATTAATATGAATTTAATATAAATTCAAGAAGTTAAAAGTAAGGAGAAAGTCTTTTCAACAAATTCAAGAATACATCACATATGTCTAAGAAGTAATTTTCATAAAAGACTATTAGAGAGAGTAAACACAAAATTGAGACGAAAAATAAAAATAAATCAATATATATGTATGTATATAAAATAAAATAAAGAAGTAAAAAATAATAATAAAAAAGAAAAAAAAGAAAGAAGTAAGAAAAAAGGAAGAAACAAGGTCCGTTCCACAGGATTTGAATCCACGACCAAAAAGTCGGCGGCCGTACTTGAATCCGTTAGGCTACATCTATTGTGAAGGCATGGGAAAAATACAATCTTCAATTCATTGTCTATTTTTTTACAAACAAAATAAAGGAAGAATTATACATAAAATTAATAAGAAATCTCTATGGAATTTTCTTCGATTTTTTCGTCTATTTTACCCCTTAGCCCAGAAACTTTTCATAAAGACAAGCTTCTTATTTTTATGCATCATATTTTTCTCTGTGTATTGGATTTTTTTCTCCCAAAATTGTTAACAATTAAAAAAAAACGTATCTACTTAACTTAAAATAAGCATTTATATATTCACATATATAATATCGATTACTTTATTTTTCCTTTTCAGGTACGTAATAACTTCGCTCTGCGGTCCTGCCTGCCCCTGTCCCGATGTTGTCGTACTTATACTCTTTTGGATTGGCTATTTCAACTCGACTCTCAATCCATTGATATATGCCTATTTTAACCGTGACTTTCGCGAAGCTTTCCGCAATACCCTGGAGTGTGTCATACCATGTTTGCGCAAGCGTAACCCCTACGACGCCTACTATGTATAGTACACGTAATAAGGATAGCAAAGAGAACGAAACTGAACGAATGATGAACATCTTAAGATGTATGTATGTACATAAGCTTTGTGTTCCTTTGCCATGATGCTCTGCGTGAGAGAGAAAATACCAGTTCTTTTAATAGTTTTTAGTACCCGCTTCTATCCGTGGATCCCTGCCTTTTTTAGGTCCCAAAAATTCCAGGATTTTCGGGATTTGTTATTTGCACTGATGGCAATAATAGAAACTCCTTTTCGTGATCAGTATTTGTTATATTTCTTTTTTTTAATTTAATAATTAATAGTTTTTTATAAATGTCTAGCTTATTATACATATAACCCCGTGCTATAGTAAATTTTACACACAAAAATCAATATATATTTTAGTTTTTAACTCTGACGTCAGTAATTCAAAAATGATTTAAAAAGTTCAGTGAAATGTGCTTAGAGAAGAAGTATGGATACCAAATTAAAGAGTAAATTTTGCAGAATTTAATCAGATTCAATTTTTAAGCGCATAAAGGCTGGTAAGTATTGAAAATGCCCTTTTAAAATTTTATCCCTGAAATTTCGCAATATTTGTTTTTGAAAAAATTGTATGTTAATGACTTATATAAACTCGATAACGTCCTCAAATTTCGTCCTTCTAAATTTATCTGCTTAAAAAATTAATTAAATTTTTTTTAAATTCTAAAGAAAGTTCCTCTTTGATTTGGTACTCATATTTTTATTCTGCATTGAATTTTTGGAATTAATCATATCTTTGAAATTACAATGTCCTTTAAAATATCCTGACGTCAGAGAGAAAAAATAAAAATGCCACCTTAAATAAAAAAGTAGGTTTCAAACACATTTATTTATTATTTATTTTACGGTAGGAGAGATAGAAGCAATTTTTTCGGGTTAAGTTGTTGAAAATAATGATTATCTAAATCCCAGGATCCCGAGATTGTGATAACGGCATCCCGAAAATCCCGGTATCGCAAAAAGCAAAAAAAAAATAAAATCCCTAGTATATACATATACATAAATGAAAAATTAATACGTCAACAGTTTATGTGATATGAATATAGATATACATATGTATGTAAGGTAAAGGTAAAAACAACAAGAACAATTAACGGATGAAAGAGAGTTAAAAATGTATGTATATGTATTTAAGCAGCATTCATTACTGATTGTTTAAGCTAATATTTATCCAATAAGCGTGTGTAAGCACAATACATTTGTATATGCTTCAATGAAATATACATTTTTCATACATACATATGTATGTATGTATGTATATAGTAAAGTGTATGTGCATACATAAGTACTTTCATGTATGTATGTTAACATATCACCACCTCATGCTACATAAATAAATATTTAATTGTAGGTAAATTCTATAACTATTCAATTGTATGTAGTAATAATAAATTGATGTAGTTATGAAATGTTAGTTAAATTTAAACTGTTAGAAATTCAAAAAGCAATACTCATAAAAAATACTACTTATTTAAGATCTTCACTTAGAAGTCAAAAAATCTATCTAAGTATGTAGTTAATTTTTATGCTGATTTACTTTTAAAAACTATGAGTGCAAAATTGCTGAATTAGGATAATTTATGTATATTTATTTAGATATAAGCTTAAATTTTTAGCTAAATTATTATGCAAATTTTAAAACATATAAGTTGGTTATGCATAAGCGTTTAGTTAGCGAGACTATTTTGTAAATGTAAGCAAAACAAACCTAAGGTTGACTGCAGAGTGTTGTCTAGAAGCGATGCTATTTCTGAAAAATACATGCGAAGCAACAAAACAAATTAAAATATTAGTCGTTTTGGACGTACTAGTTCATAAAGTAAAGGGGGTTGCACTGATTTGAGTTGAGTTGATTAGTTGGGGGGAGTTGAAGTAAGGTGAGGTTAATTCAGTGAGATGAATTGAGGTGAGTTGAGGTGAATTGAGGGAGTTGATGTGAGGATAGTTTAGGTGAGATGAGATGGTGAGTTGAGATGAAATGCATTCCTATTCGTATAAGGCTCAGACCAAAAAATAACCGAAGGCGGCATCTGACCATTCACAGTGTCATGGATATACTTTATTACAACTAAGGATATTCACTTGAAAATTATCATTTTTCAAGTTTTACAAAATTTTCTGAAACTCTCCTAAGTTTCCCACATTTGTTCATTAATGAGAAAGTGTGATCTTCTCTGACAACCGCGCAACACTGAAAGCTTTGGACTCACAGTTTCTGAGCCACTAAATATGAGACTATTTTTTTCGTTATACGTTGTTATAACTACGATTGTAGCGAACTGATTTTTAAAAGTATGGCACGCCAAAATCCTCTATGGCGTTGCCCCATTCCGTTGTGACCCTTCTGTCGTTGATAATGAGGGAGATAAGCCTAACTATATAGCTCTGGACTCCCAGCTTACGCAGGGGTTTTTCTGTTGATATCAAGGAAGGCACCAACTGCAAAGGCCTTGATCATAAAATACTCCTCACTGACACAAATCTGCCATTCAGGTAAGCATGTTCAGAGAGAGTCAGACAGGTCAATCAGTCTCTCAAAGGTTTTCAATAGGAAAGGAGATAGGGGATTGTTCTGAAGTCCCCCGGAAATACGTGAGAACTTTTTCCTGCTTTGGGGATAAACCCCTCCCAGCTGCTGGGATATGTCCCCTTTCTAAGGCTACGTTTATCACCCAGCGAATTCGCATCGCGCGAATCGATCAAAATCGCTAGAGCTAGAGCCTAAGCAGTTCACACATATGTTAGTGAGCCAGCGACGCGATACTCCACAGCTTTTTGCAGCTGCTCATTAATAACACTGGTCTACAAATTTCAACTTTTTTTCTGCGAATAAGACGGGAC